TGGAGACGCTTCTTGAGTCGTGCAAAAGCTTTAAAACCTAACGATCCCTTGCCCATTGCTTTTAAGGGTCTATGAGACCATGACAGGCAATGGGGTGGCTGACGTCGGCAACTAGGGACATCTCCCGCATCGCTCTACGCCGCTATTTTGATATTGCTCATTCGGATAAATGCGACACTGTGTTGCATCTACATTATCTTCTGGAATCTAGCGCTGTGAGGCACCGATTCTTGGCATGAGCTCCTCCACCAATTGATACCAGACAGATAGTTACCAAATCTTTCATGGCAAGGCTTGCGCACGCCGTGAATTGTGTCCTGATGACTTGGAGCCCAATATTCGAGTCCCCGTGACATCTGAGTCGGAGCTGGCTCCGGTTCGACAACTTTTTGCGCCAGCGCAGATCACAGACTAAGGCCGCGCAAGTTGGACATGTGGGATAATTAGTGGCCGCATCATTTTGGCCACAAAATGCATGGGTAATTTACGCAAGCCCGCGTGCCCGCGTTAAGGATCGACATGTCTACCCACGGAGTAGTGTGTAACTGGCAGTCAGCGGTGATCATTCCCTGCTTTGGTCGAAGGCCAATCGTCAGCCCGTGACAGCTCAATTCGGCGCTCTGTTCAATCCGTTTACCAGTATCAGCTTTCATGGTACAAATACCCAACTTCCTAATGCAGGTGGATTTTGAGGGTTTTCCCACCCTTGCCTGGTGATGCATTATTTCTCTAAGTTTGTCTTTTCTTGCTTTTCTCAATATCGTAGTGGGACCGCATCCTGTGTGTTGCGTTATACGAAGAATCCGAGCGTTGCTTTCAGACTTCTCGACGAGATTCGCGAAGATTCGAGCTCGTTGGAGATTCGGGTGGGGTACGGAGTTTCCCACATCTTACAGTGCGGGCGGGGTCGGTGATACCTTCCAAATGGCACGACATACCGGTTCACATACATGTACGAAATCATCTTTGACTACGTGGACAGAATTTGTGCGTAATCTTCAATTTGACTTGGTATGTGATATCAACTAATGCCTGTCGTAACAGAGGGGAAAGAGGGGTCTACAAAGGGGGGCACCGAGTTTGTTTCAACGTCAACCAACGATGTTAGGTGGCGCGGCGACACGGAAGACTTTGCCTGTCTTCGTCTGATGTTGATCAAACCTTGGACACCTAGTTCCAGTGGAAGCTAGAACTCTCACGAACGCAGTAATTATATCCAGAAAAGTTTGGAATTCCTGCAGAACCGTTGTCAAATGACTTGCCACCCCTCAAATTTGAGGGCTGAGTTATCCATGGCGGAGTTTACAGAGAGTCCTTGACGGAACCAGACGTGAGAAATCCTGGAATTCTGGAGCATCAACAAGAACCCGGGTGCAAGTCGCATCTACATCCTTTGTATATTATACATCTTTTGTATCATCTACATTCTCTTGCAACATGACGTCGAGTGGTCATACTCAACCCACCGTGTCGGAAACGATGGCCAGGGACGAAATGTAACGATTTTACCAACATCATGGAACCGCATCGCATGAATCCCAAGGCCACGTCAGAAACCTGAGTGGCGGCGGAGTACATAGTGTACTTTGTAGAATCATAAGCCACGTGTTCGATTTTGCGACATAAGCTCTAGATCTCTGCTCATCCACTGCTTCACGCCCTGCCATCGAATCTTGGCCCTGCTCGATAGACCGTGTTCTAGACCTGAGTAGAATCTTCTGGCTTCAGATGCCATCCGTTTCAATCCCATGCTAAGTCTGGTGACCAACCCTGTGTCGCGAAGAATATTTAAACTTCCGGACCTACTCTTCCGATTCATGGTTTCGTGGGTCATTGTTAACGTGGTCTCGACGGAGACGAGTGTACCATACGTCCCCATCTTCGTCAGACAGAGGTCACAGTGGCCTCGGAGGAGGTACGTGGTGATAAGACTTATTTGCCCCCGTTGACAGAGGCGGTTCGGTGGGGTGGAGGGGCAGTATTGACGCCACGTCGATTCGATTACGTCGCAATCGCGGCGTTTGATGATGTGGATTGTACACATCTTGGAAGTGACGTTGCGGTGAACCGTGAGGGCATAGCTGTGAGTCAGTGTTGACTTGATTCTGACGAGTCTGGCAGGGTTTGCAAAGACTTACTTCAGTTGCTATTTGAGATGTGTGGTCCGGAGATTCGATTTTGGGAGCGATTGTGTTAAAGGAGATGTTGTGGCGATTGTGGCGTGACGGTGAATCGCAGCTGGGAATTTAGTAGGGGAATATCGTCTGATCACTTCATCAAGGTAAGTACGATAAGTGAATGAGTCCTGGTTTCACGACAGAATCAATATCGGGACAGATGAAGAATGGCTTAATGCCTTCCTCTCTGAAACTCCAGCCCGCCTCTCCGAAATTCAAGAGTCTTGAGTTCATGTTTCGATATATACTTTAGCTGAGGGCAGTTGAGGAAGAGTCGCAAAACCTGCACATTTGTCACAGTGACACGTTCATGTAATATGTGGTATTATTGAAAAAAATAGATGATATCATATCCCCAATACTACCCAAGTAGCTAGCAGAACTAGGCCACATGAAGCCAGTCTGGATTTGGCAACAGGTCAGTGGCTGCTCCTAGGTTATACAAGAGTCAGCGGTCCGAGATATGTGTTGATTTCTCTTGAATCATCATACAGGATCATGTGGCTAAGTAATGTCTTGAAACACGTCTCTCTTTGAGGCTGCAATCGACTAGACTCAGAGAAATAGCTTTGAAAACTTGGTATATGCATCGATTCCACGATATGTCCGCGATAGGCACGAGGGAAAAGTTACTTGAAAACTTTGTACTGAGATTGGTAGACTGATAGTAGAATATGTGAATGTCGATCCCACCTGACCTTCCTTCGATTGTTGAATCCTTGTCGATGGACTGAATTTGACAGGCTACAGCCACTTCCAGACCGAGAAGCATCCGTCGTGGTTTATGCTCATTGTGCAGATGCCTTCCTGCTAAGGCATCATAACCTCTGGCTACCGGAGTAAAGAAGTACGGAAATCTCTTCGTTTCTCAGCCTCATTGCAAGGATCTCAAGGGCCGGTGCATTCAGCCATGCACGCCGCGTAATCCGTGAAAAGTCGTCTGAGGCATGGGACCAAGCATCCAGCCTAAGCGTTTTGTCAGTCAGTCGGCGGCTTATTCGTTAGCAAATTTAGGCAAGTTTTCTTACGTCCTAGAGAGCATAACAAATTAGTCATTTGTTATTGAAACTCTGTGGGTTTGGCAAGGGTATTGTCTACTTACGTTGATTCCACCTCTCCATGGGCGGCGCTCCTCCTCGGGCACTGTGGTAGCGCTGATGGTGGCGAAAAGTAAAGCGATGGTCGCCAGGCAAGTCATTGAGACGCGCATCTTGATAATTTCTAGGAAATCTTTTTGTGGATCGAGGCCAGTGGGGTGTGGTGTGGTTGTGAACGTGGATGCGACACATGCGGAAGCCTTGTGTGGTGGAATGTGATATTTCCCGTCGTTGTGTGGTGGAGGAAGATCTCCGAAAGAATTGAATCTGGTGAGAAGGCCATTTATATGTGACTTTTTGAGGGTATTTTATTACCTTGATAGGTATGCTCAACAAAGTTCCCCGGAGTTTTGGGTCCAGGTCTTGGTGCCTAAGGGCGGCCGACGCCGCAATTTTTTAGGACTCTCTGGTTTGAGATAACCACCAAGTAGGTAGCATCTTCTTTAAATACGAACCTAGAGTGACTGATACCAAAACAGGGGGGGGGGTTCCGTGGAATCATGACAGACGAAAGAAAGCGTCCTCGTGACCCTATCGCAAGCCTGGCTTCAACCCAATAGTGTCGTCAGGGACCACAGCGTCCCATTTACCTTGTGTGGTTTGCGATGACCCTACACCGAGCAGCGGTAGGTGTTTTGAGTTTCATGAGAATAAGTCACCACATCGAGCCGTAAATTCTTCATCGCTCAGGAGCAAAACTTCCGGCATTGGAATGAAGAACGCCCCTTTAGAAGTTCACCCAGAAAGTAACTATGCGATCATATCTAATAGTTAGGACACGGTAACCTCTTCGTTTTGAAGTATTTGCTTAAAGACCACGGCACTTCCGTATGCCTGGAACTTTGAAAAGGAAGAGGGCACTTGCATCTTTTCGTAGGTAGAGTACCTTGAGCCCCTGACTGTCGAACTATAAAAGAGGTCTGGTGTTGCCGATTATCTTCACTTCTTGAGTGAACGAGGGATCCTGGATTTCATCGTTCTTTTAACCACTGAGTAGATCGTCCTTTTACCCAAGCATTCATGTTGCAAGGACAGCCAAATTTGACGTAACTGCCGCACCAAACGCTCCTAAGCACCTCGCCGGCCACATCCCTGGTCAGATCAAGCATGTTGTGAGCCGTTGAATCTTTGCCATACGTTCAACTATTCTTCATTACCGAGGAGGTCTCAGAAGAAAGCCTTTGTCCAACGTTTTTTTTTGGACGTGTGGATTGCTTCAATGGGTCTTCTTGTTCTGGAGAAGACGCTCCGAAGACTGGGTCTTGCAATCGATACGGAAGACAGTGTTAGAGAGCTTTAAAGGAGACTTCTAGCCGTATTTTCCGGATCATTTTTAACCTTTTGAGAGGCCCCTTCAAGACGTAAGTTCCTGATGTAGTACGCCCAATATGCAACCCCGCAAATCTTCCGTCGCTGACTCTTGACACATTTCCTGGTCTGCACAAAGTAAAATACCAGTTGAAGATGCCATTTAATGCGTATCTTTATCCATCTATTAAGACTGCTAGAGAGGTCATGCAGGGTGATTCAAGATTCCCACCGAGGTCAACACAGGCAACAGCTACGTCCACTAGCTGTGAAAAACGTTGAACTTTATACTCTACAAAGACCACATGGCATTGAGACCATTAAGAAGATCCAGTTTGTGTATTGAAGTGCATGTTCTACCAGTCAAAAGTGATTTGGATGCTGCTTTGAAACATGTATTTGATGCAGTGAAGAGGAATCACTGCTGGGCTATGCCGGGAGGGCAGGGACCAGTGTAGTGCTCACATTCAGCGACCCATTCGCCCTTGCCGCCGTACTTTGCGTCACAATCCGCTTGGGTGATGGGGTTGTTCAGGATACACTATGACTACGTCAGTACCTGCGCGAAGCTTGCATCATGTTGAGATATCTCACCGCTTGGACGTTGGTCTTCGAGTTCCAGCAGCGGGTGTGACCCAAGCCAGGTCCGCAGAACTTGAGGGCAACCTTGATGTTGGGTTGCTCTCTGTTGCGGCAGTTGCACATCCAAGCCGAAACAGCATTGGGGGCACTGATGATGTTGTCAGTCGATGAGTTATAATAGGTAAAGGGCGAGTGCGGTCTTACAGGAAAGCGAAGGCGAGAACAGCAGCAACCTTCATTTTGGACTAAGCCCTGAGATCGAGATATGCATTCAAAAGCACATCATTACATTCACTTTCAAACGTTATCTCATCAACTTCCACTCGCTTCATCTAGCTTAGATCTACAAGCTCACCATGCGTTTCGCCGCTGCTACCATCGCTCTCCTGCTAGCTGTTGCCTCAGCCACTTTTGTTCCTAACGTAAACGAGGCAAACCTCGACAGGGAGCCTGAAAGTGAGCTTTACCTACAAGAATCGATAATCGAGATCTAATAAATGATATAGGCAGGACCATCGTTAACCTCGGCTTCCTCCAGGCTCATAAGACTCGCAATATCAACATCGCTAACGGTAAAAAAGCCTTAAGATTCCAGCGCTTATACAAAGCTAACATCGAAAAGTTGTCATAGCCAGAGCTTCTGATAATGTTGAAAACTCGCTCGAGCGTCGTAGTATATCAGCCCGCTCGTTATCAGCCAAGAAAAGGGCCGTTAACACATCATAATCTAGCCTCACGACCACCAGAGTAGCATCTTCAAGGCTAGTAACGGCTACTACAAAAGAATCGTCACCGGTCTCGTCATTAATAGAGTCAACGTCGCTATGACCGCTTAGTTCAACAACATCCATACACTATTCTTGCAGTCCAATACCGCCTTCCCCAACGGTTAGTGCTCAGCTACCAAAATAGATTCACAGTCAGCTAATACTACCAAGCCCCTAACTTCATCTTCGCCGGATTCGAGGATGTCTCTACCGGGGTAGAGCGCTCCCCCTAGAGGATTAGCTGGGATGAGATCTACAGCCTGGCCATCAAGCCCGGTGAAAGATTCCAGTTTAACAACTCCTTCGTCATGTGGTAGAAATAAATGACGACCCAGCTCTGATGAACCTCAAACATTGTGTCGGCGACTTCACTCACATTGGGGTTCATAGAAAAGCTCTACAGCAGCCCGGTGTCTCGACAATTGCTACCTCTGTACCTATTCGGCTGGAAACTTATTCGGGTTCGAACCCGGTGCTGGTCGCCAGTTGGCGAAGGGGGTTTGTAGCCGGGGGTGGAAAAGAGCGCTTTGCCTGTCATTCATTATGTTTCAATCATTACATCCGGCAATAAAATCTTTTTCGCTAGGAGGATTAGAACCTGAAGTGGTCATGAGGATTGCACATGATCTTGATCAAATTACCAGACACCTTTCCAAAGCCAAAAGGTATCGAAGGTTAGAGCGTCCAGCTCTCGGCACCTACATAAAGGGTGGGCCCTACAATGGGTCGATGATGGGATGGACCTTAGGGAGCATCGGACGGAGATGACCCCTGGTTCAGGGATCGAACCTTGTTCCAACCACCTCACACTGAACAATGACAACAGATCATCAGGGGAAATCAGTTCGCCAACAATGCGCAGATCGAAGACTTCTGGAAAACTGATTGAGCCATGTTTTCTGATGCAAGGCCACGATAAATTGGAAAAGTCATGGTCTGATGTTTCGTTGATCCGAATCATCAGGGAGAATCTCAAACGCGTCCAGTCACAAACATCGTAAGGTCTCGAACCATCCATAAGGAAACGCAAGTTCTCGCCAGCCCCATAAGACATCATGAAACGCATGAATCTTGAGTCGGAGGATTATGGCGCCACTGTCAACCAGATCATTGCCTGGGCATGGCTTTGCATAGAGCTGCAAAAAATATAACATACCGTAGTGTAAGTTGATAAATTCCGATTGCAAAGTCCAAAGTCTACAGGATAGACAATACTTTTGCTTACAATCAATAGAGTCGACAGCTGATTATCCTTGTAAAACAAAAGAAAATGAGCAACAAAACAGGCTCCAATGGGAGTATGGGCAACTCCAGTAATCCTCGCCCCGGACAATCTCCATTCCCGCCTTCCACTGCCCTGGTCCGCCAAACGCCACCAGTTTCGCAGCAGAGCCAACCATATACGAGCTCATACAGCAACAACTTTGATCGGAGCAGCGCCAGATATAGTACGGGCAGAACTGATGAGAGCTCGCGCTACAGTCAGGAGACCACAGAACCTCCAAAGCTTTCTCGGTCACCCCCGTCACGCCGGGAACAAAAGAAGCCCGAACCAAATAAGAACTGGGAGGACAGCATCTACGGAATGTACGGTGATATAAAAACACCCAGAGAGCCGCCACTTCCTCCACCGCCGAGGCAACAGCAGCAGCAGCAGCAACGCCGCCGATATGAGCAGCCAGAAGATGATGAAGAAAATAATTCCTTTGATGAAGAGGTACCACGGCGACCTGAGCCGAGGCCAGAGCCTCAAAGAACACGCAATAGCCGGCAGCGACAGAATTCCAGACCAGAGCAGAGGCGCCAAAATTCACGACAAGATCAGCAAAGAAACGAACAAGATGATGACAGAGATGAAGACGGATCGCGAAGAAGAGTGCACGTCAACATCGATATTGGTGGCGACGGAAGTCGCTCCTGGTCATGGACATCCGACTCACGTGGGCCAAACACGGTCAACTTCGACAATACTCCCTTTGTCGGCGGAGGCTTCCCCTTTGGTGGCCGAAATAACAACGGCGGTAGGCTTCCCGTCAATATCCCCTTTGGCGGAGGACTTCCGATCAATCTTCCATTCGGACTATGATGACACGACGGGATGTCAAACGAAGCGCGTGTTGTGGCGCGAAGGCCAGGTCTTTACACAGCTCCTTAGAAATATTTCTCAACCTTATGTAAATTATACCTGCATGTACCAACAGTCACTGGTCTTTACTACTTTGAGAACAATTTTCCCCAATCACCCAAGGGTTTCATGTCAACCTTGGATTCTCGCAACATATCCCAAATGACTGTGATAACGGTATCAAGTATGAGGATGTCATGCCTATCCTCCCAAAAAGCCACCCTCTGAGCTGCTCTCAGATTTGTGCAGAATATTGCCATTGCTTCTGGTCTTTGAGTCGCCACAGCGCTCACGAGGCCGTCTAACGTAGTTTCGTCGACGCGACCAAAAGACGAGTTCACCGTAAGGTCTAGATGTCGTTCTTTCTGGCAACTCACTCCGACACGTGAATAGTTCCGAATGATGGCTCCCTGGACATCATCTGTGTAAGGAGTGACCAAGCCAAGATCTTTGACGTCAAACTTTTGCAAGGCCTTGTTCAGCGCGAGAACAGAAGTCGTCGCGGGAATTCCTGTTGCCGCAGTGATATCCGCACACAACTTTTCATCGGCTTCAAACCCCAGCCAACCCGACGAAGTACCACTCCAACCGATCATGTCAACCTCAGCATCGGCCAAAAGCTGCGCGGCTGAGATCAAGTTGTCGGTCTGAAACTGGTCGAGCCCATCCTCATCTAGGCTGATCTTCAGAACTCGAAAACGAGAAAAGTGAACAGTGACATCCGGAAGCCCGGAGATGATGGCTTGTGTGAGAGGTTCAAGGCTAGTATTAGAAGAAGGTGTGATAATTCCTAATCTAATCTTCCGCGCCATGTCCAGGGGAGTTTCTATGAAGACTTGGATTTGCTCGCGAGTAGATTGGATTTCGTTGCTTGATAGTAATTGAGAGTTCTAAGTGTCTTTCGCCATGTATGATTTGTCCCTGAACATTGACATCAACTTTCCGTCGCTGGTCCCAAGCACCGTCATCAATCACCGACGTACCCCGCACCATGTTGACCCGCAACTTATCCGACCCTTACGGGACGGAGCATGGATCAGCCGGCTGTTGCCTTCCTGCCGCTCGTCTTGGTAGTACCTCAGATTATACCGCTAAGTCAAGGTTAACATAGATGGAGTTTCAAGTCCACTGCAAATTGCCCCCCCTGAACCAACTTCTGAAATTGCCTAGTATCTCTACGATGCCCCTATTCTATTACTTGTTTCTCAATGCAGAGTTTGCGTAGCTGTTAGTAGCTTCTTGAACTCGGAATCAGTCGCGAGCAAGGTATCGGGGGAATCCCACTCCACGGCCTCTCCCTGTTTCAAGAGGAGTACCCGGTCATACTTTTCGATGAATCTCAGACGGTGTATGACAGAGATTACAGTCTGCTCTAAGAACTCTTCCTCGATAATCCGCTGCATCTTGTCTTCCGTGTCTTGGTCGACGCTGAACCAATGTTAGTTGATGGATGGTATGCGAGTGTTGGGGGAAAGTCTATACCTGCTTGTAGCTTCATCCAAGATCAAAATTTGGCTCCTTTCAACGAGGGCGCGCGTCAAAGCTAGAAGTTGTCTTTCCCCTACGGAGAACCCATCGGCATCTAGTTCGCTGTCCAGACCACCTGCCATAGCGATCTTGCCCAGGAGGCCAACTTTATCGAGCGCTGCTTTGATCGTCTCACTACTTTCGCGGGAGTGTGGATCTAAGTTGAACCGGACGCTGCCCGGGATAAAGAGTGGCTCCTGAGGTATGACGTTGATTCGTGAACGTACTCCCGCTCTCTCCAGACCTTCGAGATCAATGCCGTCGATAGAAATCTTCCCTTCTGTAACTTCAATCATCTGAAGAAGTGAGAGAACAAAGGAGGTCTTGCCGCTGCCTGATGGTCCGCAGACTGCAATCTTCTGGCCGGATGATATTGAAAGTGACAAGTTCTTCAGAGTTGCATCTCCGTCTTTTGTGTATCTCGCAGTGACGCTCTCAAAGGCGATGCGACCCTGCATTGGCCACCTTTCAGGAGGGACACCGGAGCTTCCCAGCTCACGCTCCTCGGAAGGCGTTGTCTGTGCAAACTCTCTTATTCTGGCCACAGCACCGATTGAAGTTTCCAGAGCAGTCCAGTTCTTGATTGTTGTCGCAAGAGAATTGTTGAACCCCAGGACCAAGACCATGGAAACACCAATTGCTCCAGGAGAAAACTTATCGGTAATGGAAGTTGCCATGCTGACTATGATGAGAGCCAGAGCCCCGACAATGAGATCCAAAACGAGCGCGAGCCATTGTTGTATACAGGCTAGCATGTAGTGGGGTTTCTGTGACGTATTCAGGAGTTTTGTCGCCTGCTCCTCAAAGTTCTCTTCCCATTGATAGGCACGAATAGTGGCAACACCCTTGAGTGTTTCAAGAAAGTGGGTGTAGATTGGGGCCTTGGCTTCGATGTCGAGGAGACGGACCTGGCGAGAGGTGCGGAGATAGTATCGTTGAACGAAGAAGAGCACACCTACTAGAAGAGGCACGGATGTCGCCAAGTACTTGCCCATGACACATAGTATTATGAGCTTCACGATGCAAGCGCAAGCATCTTTGAAAGAGTTAGCTCAGCAAAAGAGTAGCTAGAAAGGTGTTGAAGAGAGGAAACTTACTCGAGGCAAAGTTAATGGCATTGGATGGAAGAGTCACATCAACCAGGTTAAGATCCTGGCTGAATCTAGATTACGAAGAGGTCAAACTCACGCTTAGCTACAAAGTAAAACGTCGCTATAAGGCACACATACCTGTTGGTGATTGAACCTGTATCAGTGGACTGGAAAAAGCTAAGAGGTGCTCTTAGATAGTGTCAGCACACGCAATAGCAAAATGGGGTCGGTTCTCGCGTTACCTTAAGCTTGTGTGCAGTAAATCACCATGTAGACTCATGGCTGTCGCGCTGATGATCCGTATGAAGAGGAGCCTGCCAGCAATGATCAGCGGCACTGAGCCTTAGAAATCAAGGTTTCTCAAGGTCTTACCAGCATTCCACGGAAAGTCCAATGCATGCCATCGCAAATAGAAAGGCATAAACCCCAAGATACATACCGAGGTTGTCATTTGGCCGTTTTTCGTTGGCTTCTACCCACCATTGAAACCAGATATCTAAGACGCATGTTTGAGCGATAGGAGCAATTAGAATAATTCCCTGAGGACTTACTTGTAAACCCGCTGCAAAATGCCTCGGTGAAAGTGGCGAAGACGAACGAGCCAACTACTACCCAACCAGCTCGCTCGAAGTAGTATTTGTAAACTGACCAAGAACCATTTTGGCGCAGTCTGTCTTCCTCGGTATCCAGGGTCCTCTGGATTTGTGTGGGTTTCACAGCCTCCTCAGCTTGCCCTGACTCTTCACCCCTCTGAAGATTATTGTCACCTTCTAATCTCGATTTTGTGATTAATTCAGGTGAGCTAGCAACAACCTGTTCATATGGGCCCTGACTAAGGACTTCACCATCGGCGAGAACGATCAATTCATCTGCATGTCGAATGAGTGCACCTGTGTGCCGTTAGCTGAAAACTTCCGACTTGCTGTCAACTTCTCCCCGTGGGCAGTCTTACTGGTGTGAGTCGCAAGAATGATGGAGATCTCGTTCCGGCGGAAGTGACCATCCTTGCTGAAGAGACGGCTTGAAATCTGGCTGACACTTTTGGAATCAAGGCCGCTGAAGACGTCATCGAGGACTACAACTCGGTGTCTGGAGTAGACCGCGCGAGCGAGTGCCTTGCGAGAATGTCAGACATGGCCATGCTTTTGCCTTTCGAAAGGGAGGGGTTTCTAACTCACCACACGCTGTCGTTGCCCTCCGCTCAAGCCGACACCGTTACTGCCAATGTTGTACAACTCTCCTCCAGGCATATTCTTGACATCGTCAGTCAAGGAGCACAGCCACAAAACTTGGTCAAACCATTTCGGATCATGATGGAGGCCACCAGTGATGTTCCTTCTCACGGTGTCGTTCATCATCCACGGAGTCTGCGCGCAGTAGGCGATACCGTGAGCCATGCGCTCTCTGGTCCCGACACTATGTGATGTCTCTCCGAGGATACTCTCCATAAGGCAAGACTTTCCGCATCCAACAGGGCCTACGACCATGGTGATGCCTCTCTTTATTGTCAAGGATAGGTCTTTAAAGACTATGTCTGAATCAGGCGACCAGGAGATCTTTGCGTTACAGAACGAGGCTATTATTCCTTCCGATGACTTTTGAGTCAAATGGTCCGCGAGCTCGATGCTTGTCCTGTTCAAGGTGGTGACTGAAGAGCGCGCTGCAGGTGTGAGGTGTTCCCGCAGTGATCCTTCGTGTGCTTTGAGGCAAAATATCTCGATGCGCTTGAAGCAAGCCACCCCCTGTACAATGTTAGGCACGAATTGGCAAAATAGCAAAAGTGGTTCTGTCAAGAGGCCGATTAAAGACAGAGCGGTGAAGGCATTCGTTGTCGTCAATGTTTGATCTTTGGTGATGACTGCGATTATACTGTAGATGACAAATGTTGCGAAAGGTGCAAATTCGACAGGAAGATTTGCTGCGAAAAGGTTAGCTTTGAAATAAGAGATCAATTATACTGATGAACTTACAAACAAGGATCTGAGAGAGGACTAATTTGCGAAATTTCTCAGACGTCCTTAACTCAACACGTCGCAGCTCTGTGATAGTGGTTGACAACACGCCTGAGAGACCCAGCATTTTGATCGACTTCATATCTCCCAGCATTGAGGCTATGACTGCCACTCTCTTCTGCAAACGTTCAATCCAGGCCGTTTGTGCCCTTCCAATGGTCTTAGAGACCGGGATGACGCCAAAAGCGCAGACTTGTGACATTTCCATTAGCATTGCGGAGCAGAGTGCAGTTCGTGGACAACCTACCGATAGAAATGACGACTGGTACTACAGATGCAGACGCTATTTGACGTTGCAGGAGGAATATTGCGATGCCAACTTCCAGAACGGCAGCCCAAATCTGATGAAAGTTGTTGAACGTGAGTACGATGCGTTCGATATCTGTGCCCATCAAAGTAACCGCAGCACTATCTTTTAAGTCATCTGCTTTAAGAGAGACAGTCTGTCTGAATATCATGGACATCAGCCCTGCTCGAAGCATCGTCGTAAAGCGGAACTGGTGGCGGGAAAATGCAGCTCGGGAGACCGCTAGACCGAGATACGTGAGAACATATGCCCCGACAAGTGCTTGCCCATATCTCTCGGACTGTGGCGTCTTGGGCGTCTGCATGAATTTCACTGTCGCCGTGATGAGGAATGGATGGCAAAACGTGAACGCGGTGAGAAAGAGACGCGTTATGACGCCGGCGAAGAGAGTCCCGCGATATGCGTAAAAGCCAGAGCGGATCAAAGGGTGGTATTTCTGCCCTTTGCGCTTCGACCACGCGGCCTCGAGGCTTGCCCCTGCTCTATCTCCAGCTAGGTCTTTGTCGACTTCCGGCATATCCCGGATGTGAATGACCCGCGAGTAGCCGAGACGGAAGAAAGGCATAAGCCAGGTGAAAAAGCTGCGGCCCCAGAAGCCAGTTTCTTCCTCTTTCGTAAGAGCTCGGTACTCTGTTCGCAAGAATCGCTTCTTGCCGATGGACTCCAAGGGAACGACTAGGATCGTGAGAATGATAATGGCAGTCCAGAGACCTCTGGACGCTCCGGCAATGGAGATGAGCCATAGAGTTCTGAGGCGCGGTAGTGAGAGTATGGCAGAGGCTGAGAAGTAGAGTATGAGCAAGTCGGATGGGCGAGTGGAGCGTTGGTCTTCGAGGAACGAGTGAAAAGTAGCTGCGAAAACGGCTATGAAGTTGAGAATTCCCGCTGCCAGTGAAGCTGTCGCGCGGGGGGCTAATGACCTGATGTTAATTATGACGAAACTGAGATGAAGCACAGTTAAGATGCTCAAGAGAGCCTACATCAGTGTCAGTATCTTGAAATGGATGAAGGGAGTTCTTCAAGTCGAGACCCACCAATTTGCACAAGGCAAGTCTGTAAGTGGCTACTTTCACCGGTGTCCGTGCAATGGAAAATATTCGAAATGGAATGAGCAGGAGAAATACTGCCGGAGGGAGAATGTGAAAGATGGCATCTTCAAAAAGGAGAGTGAAGTCAAAGTGGCGACAGTTGTAGTCAATGCGAGGGCCGAATTGATCATCGCTGCCCAAAGGACAACTGGTGTTAGTCGCCATACAGTCAGGTTTTGGGGATATATTGCGTTCAACTCAGTCCAACTTCCAGGACATTCACAGAGAATGCGAATCAGCCCAGTATTTCAAGCCTCGCAGCTGTGTAAGGGACTTTCGTCTTGTGACACCATGTACGCCATGGTGAGCAAACGTCTTACATCAGACCCTTCACTTTCCAAATGATAGCTGTGCTATGCTCAGTGAGGCAGGTCAATCCGGTTCACACAACCGCTGATTGGACACCATCGAATCGGTATTGGCCCGAATATGCATTGCTTATGTCGTCGCGTCCCGGACCCGGGAAGCGGGTCCGACCACATCGAGTGCAAAAAATCGCCATCTTAGGAATGGACAAAATGGCCGCGGAAATAAGAGTTAAGAAATTGGGGCCGAACAATGGGGACGCGAATCGAGGAGGGGACTTGGGGTGCCGATGTCGTGATCGATGGGCCCCTCTTTCCTCCGTCCCTCGGTTCTCCACTCGGAGGACCAGAATCCGGAACGTCCACCACGCCCTCAGGCAAGCACCCGTACCCGAAGGTACTTTCCCCGGACCATCCGCCACTGACCCGGATCCCTACCGGCCTGAAACTGACGCACACAATCATGCGCGTTCCTGATCTTATTAGCAACGACAACGCAATCTCGCAGCGCACACGCCAACGTCGCACGTCGTCCACAGCGATAGCTGCATCTGCAGCTTCTTCATCACAATCAGCATCACCAGAAGTGGAAAGTCTACCTCCACCGATCTCAACCAGAGCCGGTCCACCAAGCAAGAAACGACGTATAACGCAGACAGCGACCCATCTCACGCGAAGAAAACGCGCAGCAACAGCGTGCCAGTTCTGCCGTCTTCGCAAGACGAAATGCGACAACGTCCATCCCGTGTGCGGGTTCTGTCGACATCACCATGCGACCTGCGTGTACGGCGACGAAGGGGAAGATGAAGAAGGAAGAGAGATGGCAGCCAGTGCTGCCCAGGCTCAAGATGAAGGCATCGCTAGTTCAGTCATCTTGGAAAGACTAGATGAGATTAAACACTTGCTGCAGAGAACAAGAAGCCTCTCGAAAGACCAGCCGGCGTTAGTGGAAGCTGAGGTACCTCAGGCGGAAACCCATCATATAGGTGGGACCCAGGTTCATCAGCTTGGGGAAAATAGTGAACCTCATGGTTACTTCATGGAAGATCATGACCAGCACCGCGAAGAAGCTACACGCACGCTGTACTCGGCCCTCCGCTGCGAGTCTATGCTCCGGTGGCCTATCTTCGAAGGCATCGTACCAGAGGACGACGCACGAATAGAATCCTTTATCCTGGAATTCGGCACCGAAATGGCCGATAATGGTCTAAATCAGCCCAGCAGTTCCTCAACGGTCAACGGATCAGGTATCCAAGAAGATGCTTTCGTCCCCCTTTGCCGGAAGTTTCTCACACATGTTCACCCCCGTAACCCGATCCTCGAGAGCAACGAACTAATAGCCTACGCCAAACAAGCAACTGAGTACGGCATCAAGTGGGATGCTTCATCCTGTCTTGTAGTAAGAGCCCTCATTTCACCCCTTCAACGCCCCTAGCAACTGATCACAACCAACAGCTCCTCGCCTGCGCCTTGGCAAGTCTAACAACTCCCTGGATCCCACCGCAAGAAACCGCATCCGTGACCCAAATCGACGTATCAGAGACTCCTCTCCCGCCAATACTTGAACCACAGGACTGCGGCATCGCGGAGGCGTACTACCTCGCAGCATCCAAACGCATCGGCCTTCTAGGTCCCTCCATCGTTGACATACAATGTCTGTTCCTGGCCTCCATGTACGAAAAGTGCCGCCTTCGGCCACTACGAGCCTGCTTCTACATCCAGCAAGCCTCGACAAGACTGCAAGCTCACTTGCTCCGGCGAGGACGACGGCCATGGAGGGGGCCCAGTGGACGGGAAGAGCCGACACAGCCCCTGGAGCAACGACTGTTTTGGTCTTGCTTCAAGGCTGAGAAGTGAGTAACCTTCACCTTTTCTCTGTCACCGTATGGTAGGCGTCTTTCCACTGACGAAAGTAGCGAGATCCTCCCGACTTTGGGTCTCCGACCAAGCGGCCTAGAGGACTTCACCTACCCAGACTCCTTCCCTGCGCCTCCTTCAACACTCTCCACGGCAACGGTGTGCACCATCAGCGTCAACGAGACACCCGCGAATCCCTCAGACTACGCCTGGTCCCCATTCTCAGACTCTCAACAACGCCTGGAAGAAGAACGCAGTTGGCTTTACTACCTCGCCGAGATCTCCCTCCGGCGGACGATCAAAAACACCATGTCCGTGTTATACCGAAAAGGCGAGGCCTACTGGCTGAGGAACGAGGATTTATTAGTCCGACAATACGACGAGTTTGAAAAGGAAATTTCGCAATTGTCAGTTACTTCTGCCCCGCCCTCCCATGTTATCCGTGCGGACTACTTTCCTGTGCCCCCAAACCGAGTCCTCCACTTGATTTCCCCAGTCTTGGCGGACCTCGAAGCAGCGCGAATAAATTTCCGAGGAATTCAGCACAGCAACTACACCAGCCGAATGCCCAACTTACACGTCTCCCAGACACTCCCATCTTCCGCTCCTGATCCAATTTACCGAACACGACTACCCAGAAAATGAACTCGCATTCTATCTCCAAGGTCGCTTCCAAGGATGGCGCGAATCAACCCTCCGCCCGCTTCTCTACTGCGCCCTCCACGGAACCCAGGGCCGTGGCCAACACGACCAGAGCCAGCAGCACCTGACGAACCCGCGCGTGATCCACCTCGCTCAAAAAGCCGTCGACACCTGCGCCGCCATGATCGTCAAAACGGCGCACCACCACCGCCACGGCGGAAGCTGGTTCGTCGCCCGCCGCGCATTCTCCTGCGCCGTCATGGTCCTCGCGGTCGTCGCGGCAGGGAACCATCCTGTAGAGCCGCCATCGAACTGGAAGTCTCTCGTGCGGCTTGCGCTGAGGGTTCTGAGGCGATGGGGTAGAGAGGCGCGTGATCTCGAGCGCATGCGGGAGACGCTCCAGCGGCTCTTTCACAGGGTGCAGCACAAGGCGGGCTACGGGGTGGCGGTATGAGGGACCTTGGGCGCCGCATGGCGCTCGAGTTTAACCCACATGTAGGTACGTAGAAGGCTTCTCCTTCTGCATGAGGGGTACTGGGCGTTCGAATCACACGTCTATCCGTTACGTCCTTCGAGGAATGATGACGATGTTGTGTAGTGCCGTGCCCAGAAGATGAATGGTCAGCACACTTTCGGTCCTAATAGAAAGTTATAGGAGATTGATTCGAGCAATACAATGCCGCACCATAGCTAGGGGCTGGTAAAAATGTGTTGAAGAAGTAACTCCGGGCTGGCCAACCCACTCTCTACTGGGTTAACTATGATACGCATCCCTCGGGGTAGACCTTGAGGTAGCACGCACGCAGAACGCATGACAGGCACGCTCATTGACAGCCAATTGAGAATCATCCATCTCCCAATTACTAGACATACGTCCTAAGGAGAAGCTCCCTCCTTCCGCCTTCGAGAAGAAATCAAGTACGAATATTCGCCGAGACCTGAAAGGTACTCACCACTACCACTGCAGGCTTACTTAGACGATGTGGCGTGATTACTAGTTAGGTATACCAATGACAGACCTGAACTCGCCTGTGAGGAGGCGGAGAAGGGCACCCGAACCCAAAAAAAAACCAGTGGACCTGGTTGGTCAATATCCAGAGCAATCGAAATCTAAGTATTTATGGGAACCAGAGCCAGCCATTCCACCTCCTCATGTAACAGCCATATGAAGCGTTCCCACGCGAAAGGTTGGTGACCAACTTGGAGGTTTGTCTTTCAGCAACCCACATGAAGCACGCATGTGGCTGGACCCAAAGATACTTTCCAATCCACTTCAATTATAAACGTCCAAAGAGTCATATGATATCACCCGCATAATCTCTTCATGGTGTTCGCGAACCTCGAAAAGTGTCCTAGTACCCCCAAGTGTCACACAGTAGCTTGCAGTTCGGGAGCCCCGTCCCTGCAGAATGCAGCCAAGAGATCCGAGACCCGCTCAACTTGCCCCAGTTCAGGCAAGACCACGATTTGCCGAAGCCTCAACCCGACATAGTGCCACAGATGGTGCCGGAAAAGCTACCCAGCAGGGTGCATGAATAATGAAGGCCCTTGTCATTTTATTCTCATGTTTTGTTAATTCCATCACTCTGCAGAGGTAAGGTGCAGCTACTCATCGTGTAAACCCCAGGTTGCTAAGCACAATCACTTGGAAAACAAATGAGAATATCGTATTCAACTTTTTTAGTTGTATTAACAGTTATCTTTGAACGGTAGTGTAAACTAGTCACGATCGTGACGACCATGTTATCCCCCACGCGCCATGCATTCCACATCAACATTTCGCATTACAAGTTGTTAAGATGTGTCCAAATTGGACCCAACTTCAGAGATGCCTCCCAGGTTATTCACCCGGTAAGACGGGTAATATACTAGGGGTATAGATAAAAGTGAAAATGAACATTAGATAGACGCGCACTTAGACGTTGGAAGTGCGACGCTCAATGTTGTCGACGTGGACCTTGTCGAGGACGCCGTTACGGGCGACCTGGGAGGCGAAGGTCTCATGGGGCTTCCACTTGGCGGAAGTGCGGGGAGTGGTCTCCTCCATCATCTTGTCAACCTGCTCCAGGGACAAACCCTTGGTCTCGGGAACCAGGAAGTAGGTGTAGACCAGGGCGCAGGTGCAGAGACCACCCCAGACGAAGAAGACAGAGGACTTGAGGTTGCCACGCTTCTCACCGACCATGTAGGGGGTGATGACGGCAATGATGGTGTTCCAGAGCCAGTTGGAGGCAGTGGACAGAGCAACACCGCGGGAGCGGATGGGCAGAGGGAAGACTTCACCAATGAGAATCCAGGCACCAGGTCCCCACGTAGAGGCAAACCAGAAGATGAAGATGGCGATGAAGGCGATCTGGGCGTTGACAGCGGGAATGTTGTTGGCGATGCTCTTGGTGGCATCGCTGGGGTCCGGGTGGGTGTGGTTGAAACCGACCGTAACACCAATGATGGCAACGAGGAACTGGCAGATGGTCATACCAGCGGCACCCCAGAGAAGGATGGTGCGGCGACCGAAACGCTCAACAGTCCAGAAGGACAAGGGAGTGGAGCAGACGTTGACGAGGGTGAAGACCAGGGAGATCAAGAAGGTGTTGCTAATGGCACCGGTGGACTGGAGGAAAGGAGTCGAGTAGTAGAAGATAAAGTTGACACCGGTCCACTGCTGCATCATCTGGAGGGAAGTACCGAGAATGGTCTTGCGCAGGTTGGAGTTGGCCTTGAAGACGGAACCGCTGAAGCAGTTGGCCCATGAGCCGAACCAAGTGGCAGAAGGGATGAGCTGGCGCTCGTACTCCTCGTTGGCGACGATCTCAGCAAGCTCGACCTGGATGTACTCAGAGTTCTCGGGCTGGCCGCGAAGCTTGGAAAGGGAGGCGGCGGCATCGGCGAGTCTGCCCTTCTTGACGAAGTATCTGGGGGAGTCAGGGAAGAGCATGAGACCACCACCAAGGATCAGAGCCCAAGGGAACTGAATGGCGATGGGGATGCGGTAGGCGCCAGTGTCGGTGCGGTCCTTGGTGCCGTAGACGACGCAAGCAGCCAGGAGAAGACCGATGGTGATGCAGAATTGGTATCCGGCGACGAGAGCGCCACGAACCTTCTTGGGAGACTATGGAACTGTGTTAGTGGAATACTCTGGGGATTCGTGAGGGCGCCAATGTGAAAAGCTTACAATCTCAGACATGTACAGAATGACAACGGCGGACTCGAAACCCACACCGATACCAGCGATGAGACGACCGGTAACGATGGGAGCGAGAGGAGAGGAACCGACACCAGTGATCATCTGAATGACGACACCGATCATGTAGATAAAGCAACCGAGAATGACAGTCCACTTGCGTCCCATCCAGTCGGCAACGTCACCAGCAATGAGAGCACCGAAGAAAGTACCGCAGGAAAGAATAGAGACGATGAGGGAGGTGTCAGATTCGCCAATGGCGGTGGCACCCTTGCCCTCGACGGCCTCGATGAAGTTGATGGAACCCAGGACACCGTTGATGTAACCGGAGTCGTATCCGAAGAAGATACCTCCAAAGGAGGCAAAGGCGCAGATCAGGTAGGCCTTCCATGTGACGGGGGCCTCGATCTGGTCGACATTGTCGGTGACGGCGAGGCCCTGGACGGGCTCGCGCGTAACGCCGGTTTCTTTCTCCATTGTGGAGGTTGTTGCTGTTGTTGTTCGCCTCGGGAGCTTGGCGATGATCCGAGCTGATTGTATGGGAAAGGGGAGGACGAGAGGAAGCTTGTCGGGAGAATTGTTGGCGAGGAAGCTCGTGAGGAAGGGAGGGGAACAAGTGAGAAAGTGAGGGCGAGACGAGGACCTTTTATCAGTCTTGGTGTCACGTCCAAGAAGGTGCAAAGGGAAAGGTAATGCTACGCAGCTGCGTCCGTGTCAGTCCGCCTGTCTGGCATGGGGGTGTGTGTGGTAGTACCGACTGATGGACTGGGGACTGAGAACTGGGGGGGAATTGGAGATACCTTACTAGGGGAGGGGGGTGTGACACCAAGACTTGGGTCTGGAATGGGGAATGAGAATGAGACGACAGGCCAGGCCGATGCGTATGGGTCAGTCAGACTCAAACAGAGCAGAGCAGGCTGCCGTGTTGTCGATGAAGACCTTACTACGCCTAGGTATGCCTATGCCTATGTCGTATGGACGTGGTGAAGAGGAGTGTTGTGTATGTGTGAGTGTGTGTGGTGCTTCATCTCCCCATTCCGAGGGTCTGCAGGTCACAGTTCATCGAGAACGAGTTCCCATTGGGTTAGCCCCGTTGGTTAGCCGTCCCCATATTGAAGCTCCTGCTAGCTCATGCTTAATAGGGCCGATAACTTTTGGGCAGGCGTGGAGGCCGAGGGGGAAGGGGAGGGGTGGAAGACTAAGAAGGTACGGCGTAGGAGGGGGGGTGGGAAGGGGACTCCCGACGAGTTGGGAAGGGGCCGCGGGGCGGGCAGGCCACGGGGAAGGAGGGAAGGACGACGGGGGTGGCAGCCAAACAGCCATGAGAAAAAGAGAGAGACAGAGAGATGGGAGACCAGGAGAGGTACAAGGCACCAAGGGTACATGGAAGGAACTGCTCCCCGTCCAGGTTAAGGTAGCGCGCGATGTGGGAGGTACCTCCCGTCTCACACAATGGTCCTTGGGCTGGAAGGTACTTTTATTCCTTCTTTCCATTCCATTTCTTGGTTAGGTAGGTTCTTCACTCACCTGACGATAGCTACCTCAAGGTGCCATTCAGCATTGCGGTCGTACTTGCTCTTCAGGTACGAGGATGAAGATGCAGAGCTCGAGGTGCATGTCACCTTAATTTGTGGTCTGTTTGTTTGGGCATTCAATTTTTTGCCAATGTGGAAGCGAACATTTGGGGAAACAAGGACGCCGTGGTTGAAAAGGCACTTCACCAATTGCCATTGACTTTTAGAACTTCCGTCGGCTAGAGGGGAGCACCTGCCACGGCAGCCGACGAGTGACATTAAGATATGCTAGACAGGCTGGAAGGAACGAGTGACTCCCTAGCAAAAAGAATGCAAATGTAAGGTACGAAATGCTCTTGTAGCACGCAGAAAAGGAACATGAACCGAAAAGAATTGGAAATCGAGCAGAAGCATCGTACACTCGGTAAGAATTCAATGACTCCAGGTGGACCAAAACCATCAGATCATCAGTTCCAGGCGGATCTGGACTGAACACGGCCTCACTAGCCATGTTCGCAGCAGGAGAGGAAAGAGTAGTTTAGCGGCCGATGCCCACTACCTTGGTGGACAGATTGACTCGTCAGTGGCGCGCGATGACCGGCAGTCCACTACAAGCACTAAAACATTTGGAAAACTGAGAGCCAGAGGGGATGACAAGCCAAAAGGGCAAGACATTTCCCTTCCCCAGGTAGGCTATTAGAACACACGATTATTGGAATTGGACGTGAAAATTAGCCACTGGGGAACAATAACTGGGGG